CCCTGGGCCCGGGGAGCGCCGGGCTGGGCGAGCGGCCTCGGCGCGGTCCCGCAGATAGCGGGAGTTAGGTTCTGCACCGCGCCTGGTTTCTCGGAGCGACCCCGGGGACTGGCGGTAGCGGCAAGCGGAACAGGTGGCGTGATCTCGTCTTCTGGGGATGAAGCCGTCATCCCTTAATCAGCTTTTTTTTTTTTTTCCCCCGCTCTCTCGGTAGAAGTTTTGCGGTTTACCCAGGTGATGAGATGGCATGGTCAGTTGGCACTCGGCACTCCTCCGTGCCCGGCGCGCTGAGCCCCGAAGCAGCAATGCCTTCCTCGCACGGGGAATGGGCGTCCGCACGTTAAACGCGGTTAATCCCATCGGTTATACCCGTTGTGGCATGCGCTGGGAACGTGCCTTTGTTGCTCACCGTTATTCCTCTACGCAAAGCAAAGTGCCTGCCGGGTTGGAAATTAAAATGGTTACGGTGGCGTCTTGATGAGAGCCCATTTTCACAATTATGATCTAAGTTGAGGCAGAGACTTAAAATGTAGTAAACAATAAAAGCTGTATTTCCTTACGTAGAACTGAGATCCATAGTTTTTTCCATCAGAGCAAACACTGGTTTTAACATCCTGACCGACAAAAGGTACTGTCAGTGCTAGGTGAACAGTTGGACTAGATGATCTCCAAGGTCCTTTCCAACCTACATGATTCTGTGATACTAGATGTGGGGAAAAACAAGGCAATTACTCAGAAGCTAAAGCTTTCTGGTATGTTACTATTAGAAAACTCAGGTAGCACCAGCTTTTTAGAACATCCTTTTAAAGTAGTGTGAACACAAGGTTTTCACAGGCATATCTAAACTGGTAGAAAGCTACCGCACTTTCAGTAGTGTTTATTTGATATGCAAGTACGTAGGTATTTACGTGGTAATAGTAAAGCTGTCAGTTTTCTGGACTTAAATACTGAATTTTCATGAATAATCCCAGAAATTTTTCTCATGTCACATTAGTGAAGAGGTACAGATTCCACTCAGTGTTATTTTGCTGTTCAATTCTGAGAGAAAGCTATTTCAGAACTTGAAGTAGTGGTACCTACAGATAGCTGAATTTGAAACCTACTAGTAAAAGCCAAGATTTCCCACTGTAATGACTGATCTCATCTAAAAGATGAGACGTAAACAAGGCCTGATGTTCTACTTGTTTTCAGCCACTAAAAGTTACATTCACTTTTTATGATAAAAGAAAAATGAGCTATTAATGAAAATCTTGAAGCATAAATATTTTGTCAACTCAGTTTCCTAAATAGTCTTAATTAGGTAGGAAATTTGTCACTTCCCATTATGTTGTACAGATCCGGTGTGCTCTGTTCCATTGTAGAATAGGTTTGATTTTTTTAAAAAAACCTATTTGTGATCAATAAAAGTATTTTTTGTGATTAGTGGGTTTTATGACATGGTTTGAATAGAAAATTATTATCCTGAGGATGCAAAATAATACAGCAGGTCTGTGATATTGTAAAATGTTGTGAAAAGAGCAAGAATTTAATGTAGACATTTATAAATACAGGTGGATATTAGAGAAGAGCAAATTAGATGATTTTTCAGGAAGATATATAATAATTTGTAGAAGCTTGGGCTTCACGATTTTGTTTTCCTGGTTATTTCTGATGGCTGGAATATGCCACTGTTCTGAGCATGTATTTTTGTTGTTCTTGGATTGCCTGATATTAACTAATGTGGAAGAGATTAAATCTGATCAGGCAAAAAATGCCTTTTTACAAGATTAATCTTAATGATAACAGATTTTATTCAGATTGGGGCACTGTGATTACTGAACTTTGATATACAGTTGTCTCCTATTTTAAGGTGAGATTATCCTGAGTAAACAGCCTTGTTCTTATCCTTGTTGATTAGTAATCTATATTTAGACAGGTCTAATAGTTGCTTTAGTGGACCGTGTCAAACGTCATGTAAATCTAAATTGGCATGTGTATAAAATAATAGCACTATCTTTAGAGGACTTTATTTCTTAATTTTACTGCCACAAGAGGATACGCTGTTATTGAATAAGTAGAGGTAAACAGAAAATTATGCACTCACTGGTGAATTTGGCAAATTATGTATTTTGCAGAGTGCTGGTAGATGTGAGATGAGCCTAGCCTTTGGAAGGGTGTTTGTTCCATTGAAAGCAAAAGTATTTGCAAAATTAATTTGCCTACAGGTTTTTTGGTTTTTTGTTTTTTTTTTTTGTGGTGTGATTTATTTAACCTTTGACCATAAAATTAGTTCCATACTTGGAACAGGTATGCCCCTTACTTATCCTGCTGTTGTGTTCTAGATTGTCTCTCATATTTTTTGTTTTAAATTTAAGAGCATGTCAGCATTTCATTTGTTGTTTGTAAATAGATTTTCTGCGGGGTGGTTGAAATCAGTCAACTACTCTTAAAAAGTTTTCCATGTTCCTGCAATCCTTAGTGAATAAAGTGATAGAATCTGCTGTATTTTATAACTATATTTAGTTTTCTTCTCTTTCAAATTGTAAGTATTTTTTAGTCAATTGTAAAACAGCTGCTTGAAAAGCAGCACTTAACTGCAGGACTTTTAAAATGGCCACTTGGTATAAATTGCAAAAGCAGATTTATTTTTCCCTAATATTTTCTGTTTTAATTTCTTATAAGAAGTGCTATTTTTAACTGTTACCGTTTTAGTTGTGACAGTAAAGCTTTGCTTTAGGAGTCAAAATGTGTTTTAGTTAGTGAAATATTGCTACTTTGTCAGTGACATGATGAAACATATTAGAGAACAAACCATTTTTTTTTCTTTCTATGAAAACCCTTGCTCCTTTCATTCCCGTTCCTTTCAAACATCCATAGATTGTTGGATGTTTAGTATAAATGCTTTGCTTAATACATGAAATAAGTTAATGACACCTGGCCATTGACTAATGAGCACTTCTATTAATGCCAGTCCAGCCCTGACATTTTGCCTTGTTTTTCTTAATTTGGTTTGGTTTGGCTAGCCAGCAGACCAAACTACTGTAAGTAACAAATGTGAAATGATGTGAAAGTGCATAGCCTGTGGGGAACAGGAAAGAAGCAAGTAACACGGTGCAAGGGAGATAAGAGGGATCTGAGGGTACGGTAGTGCAGGTACTTTTGAACGTAAATGTAGCATTGGCTCTTTCCTATAGTGGTAAAATGTGTGTGCCCAGGAGTGCTTTTTAGTGTTGAGGTCAAGTGGTATGTCTGGCCCACTTTAATGCTGTTAAACTCTTAGCCCCAAATCAGTGGCCACTTGCAAACTGCCTATTAATAATAATCACACTAGCTCCTAAACCGTACCCAGGGATTGCTTGGGTGAGTGTTAGGTGGCTTGGACCAAAATGCTGCCAAGGATAATGCAACCATATAGCCTGGTAGTATTTTATGCTGTGTCTTAATTAGGATAGATGTAGTCTGGGCGTCCAGTGAATGTAAGTTAGTGGTATCTAACAGAAGGTGTTAACTAGGGAGAACTTGTAGCTGTTGCCTGACAGGCTGTAGGGGAGATAGGTACGATAGTTCATTGCCTGGCTAAGGGGAACATAACACATTCGGAGAAGGCTGGGTTTCATTAGTTCCAGTGTTTACAAAATAGATTTTTGTATTAAAGTTTGTTGTAAAACATTCTGAATTTTCTTGATAAAAAGATAAAGTGGGGTAATGTTTTTATTTGCCCTCAAGCTTTGTTTGGATTGCATTTGTAGGCTTTTCTCTGCAACCAGGAGGGCCTAACATTTTTCTTTAGAGAAATGAGTTTCATGTAATTGCTTGTCTGCTTTATGTAAAATACAAATGCTTTATGTAAACATAAATATTTAGAGATTTGTCATAAAGTTAAATTTGTTGGCAGATATTAATCTTTGCATTGAAAGCTATCGGCTGGCTGCGATGTGACTTCCTTGATGATGCTGTCATGATAGGAACCTGATTAGAAAGGCTTCAATATAAATGGCTTCATGGATCATTATTATTTAAATTAGCTGTAGGGTTTTTTAGAAGACTGGAGGCCTACAGTACTGAAGCATTTGGCTATTGCTCAGAAATATATAGCTAATTAAACTGCTGTAGTGTTGGTTTTTATTTTCTTTCATATAACAAGTATCAAATGGATGATGAGAATCTTGAGCTGAGATTTGATGTCAGAGAACTTCTAATACATTAGACAGTTTCGAAATAAATATTTGCTTAAAAGACCTGCACTCATCCTTGATGACTACAACTAGCATGCATTTAGTTGTTAGCTTCAAGTCTATGGGCCAGTTACCTTAATGAAAGTTGTTAATTACTTTAAGCAGAATGGTGAATTCTGAGAAAGAAGCAGCTGGTGTGTTGAGCCACTTCTGAGGACTGAAAATGCCAGCAGGTAAGAATATTTTGTCTTTGATTTTCAATACGTATTTAATAGTTAAAAACTAGATGCAGGTGATAGGAGTTACTTCTGTCTATAAATTTTTAATGCTGCATTGGCTCTGTTTTGAGTCCATGTTTATAATTGATTTTCAAAGTGTTGAGTTTTGGGTTTTTTTATTTTAAATTTAGGGACTTTTCTAAAAATTGTAATGACAGTGGTAAATATACCATAACTGAGGATTCAACTATCTTTTTCGGTGGTGTGCCAGATTACATTCTTAATTCTTTAGCTACAAATTAAGGATCACCTCAGGGGGGATAGAACATCTACTGCTTCGAGGGTTGAACTGCTGTTGTTACCAGTATTGTGATTCATAGAAAAGCAAGGACTCTCAGCGCCAGCTGATTTTGGATCTGTGCATGCTCCTGCCTCTTACTGATCTGTCTCTGTGGTGCTCCTCTGGGTTCCAGACTCAGTAGGAACCCAGATCTGATGCTTCTGGGGACAGTGTGTCACCTCCGTTATCAGTGTGCTACTTAATGTTCATAAACAGCGAGGGCAATAATCTGTCCTCTACTTTGTGCTGATCCTGATATTTGTGCTCTTCAAAACTTGCTTTCTTCAGGAAATGGAGTAGATGGTGGTGATTTCAGCAACAAGTAATAGCGTGATCTGTTTGTACAATGTTGCTGAGTTATCTTTGTGTGGTTTACATTGTCATGGAAATTCTTAACTGAATACTAAGTGAATTTTTGTTAAACTTTCCCTGATAAAATAATTTTTGTCCTTTGTGATTTTAAAGCATGATTATGCACTTTTTTAGCAATAGTGATTACTGAGCTAGTGAATCATACTCTGGATTTCATTTTGTAGTTGAAAGTGAGGCAAAGGCAAGAACCAAAGTCCGATTTGAAGAAATCTTCAGACGCCATGCTGGTCTAGCAGACACAAAGAAATCAAAGAAAAAGAAGTTTCAAGAGAGTATTGTGGTGAGTTTGAACACATACAAGCTTTGTTTGGTTGCCTTCCTTAATGAAAAAAAGATCCGGAAAATGTATTGTGAAAAGAAGATATAAGCATTTTTAAAAAGTAAACTATATTTCTGCACGTATCCTTTGTTTTTGATGTGGCTTTTATTTGTTGTGTGTGTACCAGCAATGCATCCTTGTAATTTGGAGATATATAATACTGGTAAAAACAAAGTGGCACATGCAGGCATGCACTCATTGAAAGTCTAACAGTACTTTTTTCCCATTCACATCTTTCAGAAAGGTTTTAAGATCTGCAAATTCAATATTGACTTTATTGAGAGTTTGAGTGATGGGCTAGTAGAAATATGGCTGTAAAAATATTTAATTTTGAGTGTACTATGTCTGTGTACTACAGGTCCATCTGTGTAATACATCTGTGAACTGAGAACTGATGAGAATTTATAATAATATGAGATAATCATTAACTTTATTCTATTCCCTAAAAATTAAAATTTGATCTCAGTAATCAGCATATTTCTGTGAGTGCTGAGCTTTGTGTCTGAGTGGACCTGTGTTTACATGTCTACTTAGTACACACACATGAAGGTTTTTTTTAAAGATTTTGGATTTATTTTGTAATTTGCAGATTAGGAATGATTCTATCACCCTGACTTTATGGTTAGATAACATCATTGTTTGTGGCATATATCTCATTAAAAGAAACTCAGAGATTCCTCTGAATTATGGTTCAAACTGTAGCTTTTTTTCCTGAACAGAAGAATAAATGTTTAACATGAGTGCTTTATATGCCAGTTATGGATTTACAATGTTTGGAATTTCAAAAGAAAGTTTGCGTAAAAGGCAAATGTTCTGTTGTTTTATTTTCTTCCTGTTAGGTTTTCTATTTTCAGCCTTTTTTCTTACAATTCAGTTCGTACCAGATGTTGGAAGTGAATGTTCATTCTTTAATACTCATTCAAGACAAAGGAGTGGTATTTTATATTATATCATAATGTTACAAGTTTTTATTTTATATGGACTATATTCAGAACAGTTATATTAAACTTTGTATTCTTATGATGAAACATAATTTTGTCTTTAGATTGACAATTTGAAGTTGATATTTGTGTGGATTTTTAAAATTTTGAATTCTTTGCAGTATATGGCATTTAGTAGTCTATACAAAGAATCAACGTAATGTTTAAAATATATCACAGAAGAGTTAGAGGGTGGGTTTTTTTCTTCTTTTTTGCTGGCATGTGTATAAATACAAGACAATTCTTCCTTGGTAAGGTTTACTTTTTTTGACAAAGCATGAGTTGTTAAATCTGTACTTTATAAGTATTTTGGAGCACATAATTTATGTTCATATGCAACTACATATTACTCATAAATATTTTAAGCTTACTTTTTCTTTAAAATTGTTTTCCATTCCAAAAGTCTCTGATGTAAGACACTAGTGTTTTGGAGTTACCTAGAAACACTTAAAAATGCAGTGCACCGAATCAAGTGTTAGTGGTATACACAAAAATTGAGAAGTGTTTTTAGGATCAGCATAGAAGCCCAACTCTATGGTTTTGTTGACACCATAGATTTTTACCAGTCAAATAACTAAAAAACTAAGAACTTGAGGAGAATGTGTATTGAAACCTAATAGTGACTATTTTGAGTGTGGCAAAGTTGCAAGAGCTCAGGTTGGTATTTTCCGTGCTGGTTGCATTCAAGTAGAAATTTCTATAAAAGCTTCAGCAAATAAGTAGTCATTTCTTTGTAAGAAATAAATATGTGTGGGAGGGGAAGAGGAGGTAGATGGAGGAGGTTGACTGGTTTTGTTCCAGTTTTCTTCGCTTTATATAATTCAACTCTATACAGTTTCACATATCTTGAAATAATGTGAAATTTATCAAGTGATGGTTGTCTTTGTGTCACGCACTTGCCATAAATGGCCTCCCAGATTTGATCAGAAACAGATCGTGGTTGAGAGCCTATTTCCACTGGAAATGTTCCACTCTGCTTCCTTTGTTTGTCTTTACTGAACCTAGCCTTTCATAGATTAGTAAAACCTTTCCCATCATAGTCCCCTGTTCCTTGAAACCTGAGTTCTGGAGCTGCAGGAGGTTACTGTGATTTTAAATGACAGAAGCAAGGGTAAGGTTGCCTGCCCGTTTGCCCTCTCTGATTTCTGTGCCCATTGTCAGGAGAGAAGGGAAGCAGCCTGACTGGAAGAGAAAAGGCTGATATCAGTAGGTTAAGATGAGTCTGAAGTCTCAACTAATAGGAATGAGGAGCTTGTAATGGAGATGGAGATAGACCTCAGCTGTGGGTAGTGAAAGGTCTGCTTTGTTGTTGAACAGCCCCAGGTGCAGTGGGTATGAGGCCTGAAGGTATGGCTGAAAAAACAAGCAATTGGGACACAGTCAGAAAGTGAATTTGCTAGTATCCCTTTCAGGCCTAACAGTCACCCTATTTCTTTTTAACTAGTTGTACCTCCTGTTACAAATTGTTAGAAGGAGGCAAGCCTCAGACCAGGCAATGCCCAGACCATTTTGTCCAGATAGATTAATCTGCCTGAACAGCTAATACAGAATCAGAGAATCATTCAGGGTAGAAAAGATCCTTAGAATCATCGAGCCCAACCATCAGCCCTACTCTACAAAGTTCTCCCCTACACCATATCCCCCAACATCTCATCTAAACGACCCTTAAACACATCCAGGGATGGTGACTCCACCACCTTCCTGGGCAGCCTATTCCACTGTCTGACCACTCTTTCTGTGAAAATTTTTTTCCTAACGTTCTGTCTAAACCTCCCCTGTTGGAGTTTAAAGCCATTCCCTCTTGTTGTATTGCTAGTTACCTGAGAGAAGAGACCAGCACCAACCTCTCTACTGTGTCCTTTCCGGTAGATGTGGAGAGTGATGAGGTCTCCCCTCTGCCTTCTCTTCCTCAAACTGAACAGGCCCAGCTCCTTCAGTTGCTCCTCATAAGATTTATTCTCCAGGCCCATCACCAGCTTTGTTGCTGTTCTCTGCACTCGCTCCAGCACCTCGATATCTCTCTCGTATTGAGGTGCCTAAAACTGGACACAATACTCCAGGTGAGGCCTCACCAGTGCAGAGTACAGGGGGACTATCACCTCCCTACTTCTGCTGGTCACACTATTTCTAATACAAGCCAGGATGCCGTTGGCCTTCTTGGCCACCCGGGCACACTGCTGGCTCATGTGCAGCTGTTGGATGTTCTATCAAAGGCAGAAAGCAGCGTGACCTTAGCTATTGGTCACTGTTGGGTCTTAATTGCCAGTTTGTTTTAACCTTCGTTCCTTATACCGTGCAGTTAAAGCTATCTGTAGAAATGCAGATAAGGAGGTGGACAACCCATTAGAAAGCATTATTTTGGTTTCTATAGTTTATACAAAACTTGTTGCTTTAATGTTGGTTTTTTTATTTCCCTTTTTCTGTATTTTAAGTTATTTATATGAAATCTTCCACATCCTCTTAGATCATTGACTTATGAATAAAGAGGAAATTACTAGACTATTTAAGCAAGTAAAAGATGAAGGTATAAAGACATGTTTCTTTCATGATTTGATACTGAGATAATTTAAACTATTTTTAGACATAGGATGTTAAAAATAAAGATACCAACTGAAAAGATACATGAATGGCTTTAGATAAGCATACTTGCATGAGATTTTCGATGTTTCTTTTTTTAACTCATACTTTATTAGGACCATGTTGTTTAATATGTAGCATTACGAAGTCTAGTTAGTGCATTTTTAAGCTTTGTCTCTTACTTTAGACGTCAGCATTTTTTTCTGTGTTAAATGTTGTCTTGGCATATTTTTCTTGTCACATTGCTTTTATTTAACAGTTTTCCTGTACAAATAATAAACTTCCTTCATGTATTTTCTGTGTTTTTACTCATATACTTCAAACTTTCTTTTTTCTCCCTTCTCCTTCTTCAGTGCTTAGAGTACTTTACTTGCTCTCCCTGTCCTATCTTCAAGTGTCAGATGTGAATAAAACAAGATAGTGATAAAGGTATGCAGGCTCACATAATTGAGGGCATACAAAATCAAGGCAGATGACTTGCACATTGAGTGTTCTTTCTAGTCATGGAATATTATTTTTACAGATGGGAATTTTTAAGTCAGGATCCGTCCTCCAAAGCATGCCTGCTGTTGCAACTTCATTCTCAGCTTTTTCTTCTTATAAGCTTTTACATATTGGTGATCACTCTACACATATTGTCCCTTTTGAAAAATGTTTGAGGCAAACATAATACTGCAACTTGGGAGAAGTACCCCAGCTAGAAGGGGAAGATGTCTGCATTTATTGAGGAAGGAAGATGGTCTTGGCAAAGAAAATATTGTACGCAGATACTTACATTGTCTCCAACTTTTTTAATTAATTTGCTTTCTTCGTGTCTTAAAGTCCTTTCTAATGTTTTTAGTGGAGACTCCAGAGAGTTTATGCAAGACAATGAACCTCAGTGAATTTACAGAAGCTCCATCAAGGATCACAGATCTGTGTGTTGAGCTCCTTACAGAATTAGACCTTAGTTGCTTGCTGTTCTTTGGAGTTATCATAGAATAGTTTGGGTTGGAAGGGACCTTTAAGGGTCATCTAGCTCAATGTCCCTGCAGTTGCTAGTTTCTTCCAACCAGGTCAGGTTGCTCAAGGCCCCCTCCAGCCTGGCCGTGAATGTTTCCAGGGATGGGGCATTAGAACTTTTAGTAAACACGGATAGAAATCTGAAGGAGGGAGGAAAGTTTACAATGTGTTTGTTAAAAACCACCAAAAATGGGCAATAGGAGTACATAGACAGATGCATTAGCTGAAATTTGTCTTAGCTGTTTATACTAGACTGGTCCTTAGATCAGCTCTTTGTCATTCTACTAAGAATTATGCAGGTGTTTTTTTCAACTTTTATGTTGGTTTTTTTTAAAAAAAAGCCTTAATGGAAATCTTTTTGTCAAGCAACTTTTGGTAAAAGAGACTACAAACAACTGAGCCTGAAGCCTGTCTCTAACTTGCATTTTACATGGAAGAAAATACTTGATTTTGTGCTGCATGTGATCTTCAAGTCTTCCATAGTCAAGCATTGGCATCTGTTGATGGAGTAGACTTGTTGATGTCTTTTTTCACTGTATATACATAAAAGCAATTTAAAAACATAGTGAATCAAAATTGAGGATGATGTGCCCAAATATGAATTTTCTTTTTCTGTGTCAATTTTCTGTTGCCTTTCAATTTGTTACTTGTTAATTTTAAACAAGAAAATAACTCAATCTTTGATTTCATTTCACTTTGTATAATATTGCTAAAGAAATAACAAGAAGTACTATGGTTATCCTTAGAACATAATTTTTAGTACAAGTATGTTTTATGTTCTTTTCACTTATAGCTTGACACCTTTAGAAGTAATATTGATCTAGCTAAGGAAAGCGTGAATGATGAAGCAATTATAAACAACACATACAATCCTGAAGAAGAGAGTCCCCGATTTACAAAAAATAAGCTGAGAGAGAAAGTCTCAATTGCAGAGAAAATAAACAATGATATTGTTAGTGGAGAGGAGAACAAGCAACCAAAGTCTAACAAGAAGAAAAAGAAATCACCATTGCAAGAACAGTTTAATGAGGAGGAAAATTTATATGAAGCTAAATTGGAGAGTTTTGAGAAAAAGATCAATGATCTTCCAAAGAAGAAAACAAAAAGTAGATCACAAACAGATGTATCTCATCAAGAAGGTGATAGAAAGATTAAAAATTCCTTGTCTGAAGCGAGAAATATAACTGAATTAGAAGAGGAAGAAGAGCTAATTCGAGCCTATCAGCTGCATGTGGCTGAGGATGAGGCAAAAGCAATTAAAAAGAAAATAAGAATGAAACTTAAAGAACAGATGTCCGAATTCACCTCCACTGTTCAAAGCTATGAAGTGGTATTGAACAATGAAGTGGGCAAAAAGAAGAAAAAGAAGAAAGAAATAGCAGTTTTAAGTGAAGCTGAAACAAGGTACCATGATAAACTGTATACTTGTGTGTCTGTGAATCTTAAGTGAAATGTTTCATTTTGTTTTAAGATAGGCAGAAGTTTTCTAATAAACCACACATATTTTCTAAGTGATAAACTGGATGATTCTGTTATGAAAAAATATAACCAAATCCTTTTTCAAAATGATTTCAAGATTAATATTTAACTCACAGTTTCTTTTTAACTTCCTAAAAAATATCCTCCGTTATATCTGATGTTTATTTTCTGTGGAACTCACTCTTAATTAACCTAAGATAATTTTGTGCATGTTTTCTTAGTCTTGAGTCATGGCCAGCAGAAGAGTATGAGTTTAACATGAATGATACTGCAATTATCTGGAAACTAGGGGGAAATGAAGGGGGGAGAGATGAAAAAGGCAAGATATTAATGTTGGGGGTGTATGTTCCATTTTCAAGATACACAGATGATGAGTTGCAGAACTAAAGAAGAAATTTCTAGATCATGGATTAATAATAGTAATGAGCAATTGTATCTGTATATGCAGTAGGAGGCAACTGCTGACCGTAATCCATTTTGTTGCAGTGCAATGTCCCTTTCTGAGCTACAACATCCTCCAGCAGAAGATGGCAATGCAAATCAGTCCTTGGAAAGACTATTTACATCAGAAGGACAGAATCTGGAGGAAAGCATGGAAAACCAGAAACCTAAAGCAAAGAAGTTTAAAAAAAAAAACAGAAAAGGTCTGCCAACAAAATGTTAGGATGGTGTGCTGCTTTGTTGCTTTATCCAAGTTTGTTTTTTTTTTTCCTTTTTTTTTTTTTGCGCTGCTGCAGAAATATATGTCCATAGTAACACAGAAGTGATTGAGCTGTTGAAGTTAATTATGCTTCATTAATTACTATTTTTGTTCTTCCAATTCTGAGGCTAATTTGTGAGGAAGTTTTTTTGAGTATCAATCTAAAACCTTGAGGATTCATTTACTGTAAATACTTTTGAAGTGGCTAAATAGTTAAAAAGTTGCGTTTTTTTAAAGCATAATGTAATAATATTATAAACCACCTTTCAGTGTATTACTTAGATGCATATTATAATTGGTTTTCTATTATTTTATCATTTTTGTTTATACTATAAATGGTGTATCACCACTGTTTAACCTAATGCTCCTTTCAAACATAAGGAATACTTTTTCATGCAATGCATAGCCAAATCAGGGAATTCACTTCTCAAGTGTCGTGGAGGCTAAAATAAAAAAGTAGATTAAAAAATTGAGGTTATAGAAATTGATGAGAAGTAGATGTTTTGATATCTATTTAGTATTGTGGTCTCACTGTAACTTGTAAATGAGGAAGTTCTGAAAACAATGGTATGTTCAGGGGAAATGCACATAGAGGAGGCATCAGTTTCTTCTTATCTTGTTTTTTACATTTTCCTTAAAACAAGCAAGCAAACAAAAAAAACCACCCTGCTATTGGCTGTAGTCCAGAGCAGGGTATTGAACTGTAGGTATTTTAAGACATTGTGGTACAGAAGAACCTATGTTAGTTAAGAGGAAGATCTCTGATTTTAAATAAAAATGTTTGTTAATAGGAATAAATTATATTAATATATATTCATGTGTATGTTCGTACATGTCTAAAATGCTGCAAATTGGAACATTTTATTTTAACTTATTACATAAAGAACACGTTAAATATTACTTTACTGTTGATTGCTAAGACAATACAGAGCATTTTTACTCCTTTTAACTGCCATTAATGGAACATAGTAACCTCTGTTTACTTTGTTCCTATTTCTAGAAGAAAACACAGAACTTGCTGCAGAAAAAGGTGAAGCCATGAAGAATTCAGAAATTTCAATTCAGTCTAAATTTTCTTTTGATGATGATCTTGTGTTGGGAGTTTATATCCATCGATGTGATCGACTTAAAAGTGATCTCCTGGTGTCTCATCCCATGGTTAAAATCCATGTTGTTGATCAGAGAAGTGGCTTATATGTCAAGAAGGATCATAGGTGACTTTTAATAACTGTTTCTATTATCAGTGATTACTATAAATGCATAGATCCTTCCCTAGAAAATTAAATATGAAAATAATGCTGAATGTTAAGGTTGTGAGATCATTCATTAGTTTCTACGTCTGTGATTATATATACACACACACACACACACACACACACACACACACACACACACACTCCTACAGTAAATTAGCGCGTTATTTTTCTTTTGGTTTTGGCACTTTTAAATACCCTGTACTGCTATATTGTTCTCAAGGTCCTCCGATTTACAGCACAGTTCGTTCTGTATTCCTTTCAGAGGAAAACTTTCCTAAATCTCAAAAATATGTAGAAGCAAAGATTGGAATAAGCACCAAAACTCTTGTAGCATAAATGTCTGCCTTTTTTATAAAATAACTTTTAAAATCCTGAAATGAAGTTTAATTCTTCATGTTTCTAGTCACTTGTTTGCACTGCCATTATGCATAATTTTCAAATTTTTAAGAGTGTTTAAGCAATAGACTGTACCATGATCATTATGCATAAATTTGGTAACAATAACTTGATTGTTACAATTTTGAACTTCAGCCTGCAGCATTTCTACATACATTGTAAATTGTCTTAAATTTTGTGTGGTTTTAGAAAACTTTTTTCTAAAATCAAACAAATGGTATCTTGTAGGGTTTTTTGCTTTCAGTAATTGAAAATACTGTTTGTTTGAGTTGGGGTTTTTTAAGGCCCTATAACAATTGTAACTGTTTGGAAATTTTCAAACAGCAAGAGGAAAGATTCATCTTATTCTGAACAAGAACAAATAGAGCACGTTCTTCCGATTTTGACACAACCATATGACTTCAGACAGTCTAAATCAACGGTTCCAGAGTGGGAGGAGCAAGTAGTATTTAATGAGTGTTTTAGTTATTTTATTCAACAAACTGAAGAAAGCCCTCGGGTAATCCTGTTTTTTGAGGTAAGGTTAAATGTTTTGTATCCAATTTATTCATGTTGTGATTTTCTGTTTTTCTTCAACAGTATATATTTGACTGATTCAAGTGTTTTATTTCAGTTATATTGGGTTAATAGTGTAACCTTAGGATACAGAATTAAGTGGATATACCAAAAAGTGTTATTGGTGATTGCTAATACTCATAAACATTTTTTGTAACAAAACCACTGTGTTTTGATAGTAGAAAGGAGGACAGAGCTTTCTTATTAGATCAACTGTCAAACTTCTGGGAAGGGCTGTTAAGATCGTTCCAGATCAGGAGGGATGGCACCATATATAAAGGATATCACTTTTTCATTTTGCATATTCTTGAAATCGGAGAAGAAGCTTGAATACCAGAAACTCGAAGATGCAGTTTGCCTGCTTGTAGCAACACCTCTTTTCCCTTGTACCAGTGAACAAAGCTGTTGCATTTTTTTCCATTAACGTTTTAGACATCTACTTCTCCTCGCCTGTTCTTGGCAAAGTAATTATTAATTAATCCTCCAATACAGTTATGTTTAAAGGAAAAATTACAAGGTGTATATTCAACATGATTTTGAGCTCAAGTTTTTCGGTATTTGTAAAGACAGAGTCTGTAGTATTAACCTGAAAACGGGAATCTAGTACAATAAATGTTTTTTCATTCCTTGTTTCTTATATTTCAAATAGATTGTATATGCAGTATCATAGTATGGCTTTTTTATGTTCTGTGATACTCATAAATGAACACATTTATCACATTAAGAGTGCCTAGTTGCTCAAGGCAAAAGTAATTACATTTGTGTGTAAGGATTCTTCATGTTAATGTTGGGACCAAAAGTATGACTATACTGAAAGCATGCTGTTTGACTTCAGAGTGGTTTATGAAATATCAGTTTGAAGAAAGCATGATTCCAAGGGGTTTTTTGTATACCATATAAACCTTCAGGAGTGGTTAAATATGAGAATATTCTTGTCACTGGCCAGAAAAATTAAGCATCATGGACATCACTGGAAGTGTTGAAAGTCATGTTGTACAAGGCTTTGAGCAACCTGATCTAGTGAAAGATGTCTCTGCCCATGGTGGATGGGTGGGACTAGATGGTCTTTGAACATCCTTTCCAACTCAAACCATTCTTTGGTTGATTCTGTGACATGTGATAAAGGTAGGAAAGGAAAACTAACTTTTTGATGGCTGTTTTCCAGCTAGATTAACATCCAGTGGGTTTTAGCTGTCAGATTTGTAAACTGTATAGGATTTATGAGAATTACATATAAATGTTTTCTTCTTTTATGGTGACAGAAGGGAAGGAAGAACAGTTTTTTAAAGTCAGCCTTAACGTTCTTTTTTTAAAGCAGGTCATAGTCATCAGGTAACTGGATAAGGATCTGTTATTTTTAATTGTGCACTTGTGTGAAATAAGTACTGTTTTTATAATTTTTTAAAATTGAATTCTGCTTATTGAATCTTGTCTAGCATATTTTCAGCAGTATTTTTTAATTACTATGAAGTATATAGTCATTAGAAATATATTCATATTTGTACCAATACTTTCAGATCCTTGATTTTCTAAGGATGGATGAAGTGAGAGCCAGCTCTGATACACAAATTCAGGAATGTGGTTTCCGAAAAATTTGTTGGGCATTTCTAAAGGTATTGTAAATATTTAAATGAAGAAACAAAATTTGTGAATCTTTTTATTCAATTATTTAAGATGATAACTGTACTAAGTGGGAAAAGATTTTTTTTTTAATCTTTCCAGGCAACAGATGGAAAAATAAATTCTTGCTTGCTTGACTGTTCTCTCCTTTCCCTCTTCCTTTGCCCCATAAAATTCACAGTAACAAGCTTGACAATAAAGAATATGTATTTTTTCAAGAAAGTACAGAATGTGTAAAATTTTTGTTCATAAAATACAGAAGGGGTTTTTCTCTTAGTGTTTTCTGCGTGTTCATGAGATTGTACAAAGAAAATGATAAATCCACTCATTTCTCTGTCTCAGCTATTCTGTATTCTAATGACATTTTCAGTGGGTCAGTCTTTTCGAAGACTCCCTTGCCTAATTATAAAATACCTGTCATTTTTAGTTGCATAGTTTGAAATGCTGCAGCAACGACATACATGTAATTTAGCCAGCACGACTTGTACCTTTTTGCCCTTTTAGGAGAGACTTGAATGTGCCAGTTTGGCCTTTGAGAGCTGACAAGCTTTAATTTGCCTGAGGGTTGTTCCTTTACACCTACCCCAGTGGATGGTAGATCTTGACAGCCATTGAGCAGTCCACAATATGAGAAATACAGGAGAAGATAATGGACTGCGAGTTTATGGGAAGGGAGAGAGACCTCCATATCGTTCCATACAGAGTCTCTTCTCAGCTCTGCCCAAGATTAATCTACTGGAATCAGAGGTCTGGTTCCCGTCTGGGTGTATAGCTGGTGGGAACTGTTCATCCAGGCATTCAGTGCAAATGAAATTGTGGCCTGTTCTTCCTACTGCATCTGCCTGCATTAACCTTTCATCAGTATTAGTCAAAGTAGAAATGTCCTCAGTGTTAATGGCAGTAGGTACACTTGTTCTTTAGTTCAACACAGAAAACTGTTATTTCCTCTGAATCGAGTGGTTACTGCTTTGCAGTATCTTCTGCTCTGAGTCAAAGCCTTACCAGTGCCCTTCATTGCATTGTTCAAATGAGGCAGATTTGAAAGAGACTCTTTGTGGATTAACAGTCCTTTTGAGATTTGAGTGATTCCAGCAAGTAGTGATTAAAAAAAAAAAAAAAAAAAAAAAGTGGTACTGCAGAGGTCTTCCGACATACAGGATGTTACTGCTCTGCATATGAAGCATGTGTCAAAACTAGGCTGCCCTCTAAATTTAATCTTATGATCTGATCCTGGGAGTGTTTAATACATACTTACTTCATTACTTCTAGGTGTAGTAGGATGGTATATCTCCCCAGTGGGAAGTGAATTTCAGAGTTTATACTGTAGTTAAGATATTAAAAATAATCACTTTTATTACTTTTATGTTAATGTAACACACTTTTTCCTCTTTTTAATCACCCTTCCAGCTTGTAGGTGCAAATGGAGTTCTAAACATTGATGGAAAAGTCCGTCTGCAATTATATTACCCACCTCCAAGGACCAAGGCACATTCGAATGCTGTTGAGGTTTATGACTGGTGGGCAAAATGTCCTAGAAATCGTTATCCATCAACTTTATATGTGACCGTAAGAGGCATAAAACTGCCAGATCATGTAAGTTAAATATATTATATATATTTACAAATATACAGACTTCTGTAGAAAGTAGGAACTAGCTAGAACACCAGAGTATGTGTGTTTGTATGCATGTATAGAAAAGTTGTACTTATATGCAGTATATAAAAGAGCTAATACATAACTATAATAAGAACTTCGCATCTTAAGATACATGTTCCAAACTCAGCCCTTCATAACTGTCTTTGAAAAATAGGCATACTTTCCTATCTGCAACTTTGTATTTTTTGCCATTGACAGAAAACTTTCAGGGTACTTTCTTGAGATTGATACTCCTTCTCATTAGGAGAAATGTCCTTTTAAGTCACTGGACTCATGCAGGTGTGCAAATTGTGTAAGTGAGAGAAGATATAAGTCACTTAACTGTGATGCCCTGCACCCTCAAACTATAATGAGTCAGGGTTTTTTTCTCAAATGAAAGATTCTCTAAAGACAGGCTTACATTGGTATGTGCCAAGATGTGCATTCAAGATAAATACAGCATTTGTTGTTCTACAGTGCAATATTGTTCTATTACATGATTTTCCATATGTATTTACAGTACTCATAAACCTTTCTTTTGCTCACTGTTCATACAATCAAGGTTAATCTGTGAAAACCTAGTGAGATGTTGTCCAAAACCAAGCTAATCTGTCGGATTAGTTCCTATGTTTTGGGGACATTTTTCTAATCTGTGTACTGGAATGACATCTGCAGATCTCTTGCTGTCAGCTTCTGTAGTGGTAGGAATTCTGTGCTCTTGAGCGGCTGTGCTTCATCTTTCTGGAAGCATTCTGAGCCTGTCTTCATGGTCTGAATGCTTTCAGGGTATGTTTAGGTGCTATCACTGGTTTATAGCTGTTCCTACTTTACAGTCCTCTTTGAAGTTCAAGTAATGTCATAAAATTGCATAGGCTTTCTGAGCTATGCTTGACTTGGATATTATTTCATTCTTGTTCTGGTAAGTGGCAGATTTGCCAAGGCTGGGGTTGAATTCCAGATTAAGAGTCATGGCATGATACAGTTTTCTGTGCATACATTTCTGCTTCCATTTAAGATCTGTTACAGATCCTGCCTAGTCTCCTGCTTCTCCAGAAGGGCCCAGGTCTCCCAAACCTTCTGCATGGGCTGGTAGATATGAACATAGATGTCTTGGGTAAAACAGGGCATCTTGCATGGAAGTAGACGACTTTGTGTGGGCAACTGGTTTAAACTCGTAAATTGGTTTCTGCTTGAGTGGTAGGTGTCCAACCTCACTTTTTAGTCGTGGGAACCTAGACAGTTATGCACCCTGAAGTGGATAAATAGCAACTGTCAGCCTGGAAGAAAACAGTAATTTTGCCTGGTATTCAGATGTGTTTCTGAAGAGACTTGTCTTTGTGAAACTGATCAGAACTATAGCTGGTTCTTAGTGGCCTCTGTGCCCCTCAGCCATGGGGCTGCTAGGCTGCTTCACAGCATTAAGGCTTCCTGTGTGTTCAAGCTTGGTGTAACTTGTATGTAAGGTTTAGTAAGTGTGTTTACAGAAGTTTGGAGAGTATATATGGTTTACCTACAATAAAAATCAGAAATGTCCTCCTTTTTCTTTGCAACACTTAAACATAGTCTGTTCACAATACTGGTAGTATCTTTTGACTTGAAAGTGGTAGATTAATGTCAGTGCAACTATTTACATACTGAAACGATTTTTTTTTTTAATACAACATGTTCACCAGGTAGTAGAGTATTACTAATTTTCACTGAACTAGATGGTTAATAAAAATAGATAAATATTGATTATTTGAAAAATCTCTGATACCATACGATAGACACAACTTTGGAAGCTTGGATTACTTTGTGGCTTGCTGGCACTTTAATTTTTTACTATGCAGTTTTCATGTATTAAGCCTTTACTAATCTCTGTTTTTCAGATGTAAAAATGCAATGCATTTGAAGTTAAAAATACCTTTTAATCTTCTCAGATATTACAGTGTTCATGTTAATAATATTTTTTCATGATACTTAGTTTTGTTTGTTTTAAGGTTGCTCCTTCTTTCCGCTCTATGATAGCTGTTCAGCAGGAACAAAGTAGTGCAACTCTGTGTGAGCCCCAGGGAGAGGGATCTAAAAAATCATGTGAACCTTTTCCTCAGGAGAAGGAGCCGTTTAAATGGACAAGATTGCCTGGACAGGTGAGGTGTTTTTCTTTGTTTTTTAAAGAAAAATACTTAGAAGATCTACTATATTTTCATAACTTTATTTTTATGATCTAAGTATTATGAAGCAAGTCAGTCATTAAAGCAAATTAAACAATACTAGCATAAGAAACTCAGAAATAGTAGAGGATGTTTATCTTCTTCCACATATGCTTGATTTAACCATTTTTTCCCAGAACAATCAAGTATTTTTATCTCCTGAATTCTCCAGTAATTTGAAAGAGTTGGGCTATTCAGGTAGTAGAAGTAAAACAGGAAGTCAGTTCTGAGATTTCAGCTTGACTGGAAATATATTTTCCTGTTTTTTTTTTTCATTCCATCAGTTAAAGTTATTTTTTAGAGTGTAACAAAGGAATTTTCATTGAAGAACCTTATTAAGAAGGTTCTTGATGACTTCATCCTAACTTCTAGATCACTGTAGCTAATGGAATTAGCAATCATAAAGGGAATATTTTTGCAACTATATATAGAATGTCCATACAATGATTTAATATTTTTCTGTAGAACGACATTAGTGTGGGTTCATGGTTCTATAAAAATTTGAATAATATAAAGATATGTTGATTTTAATTTTGATTCCATACTGTAGGCCTTGTACAGATTCTTTCAAAAAGAACACTAAATATACATGGACTTAATTTTATTTCCCAGTAATGTTTGCTGATAATAATAAAATAGTAAAGAATAGGTCAGTCTGTTTTTTACATTGGAAATTTTCTTTCCAAAAATGGCAGAATACCTCAAAGTTGTATTTATGTTAATATTCATTACTTTTCAGAAAGTTACCATTCTGAAAGTAAGTGTGCAATTGAAACGAAGAGAAATGTGATCCTAAGAATATTTGCCTGTCATCATTAAAATAAAATTTGGCAGGTAATTTATTCTTAGACTAGTCCATGTACATATTAAAGAACTTCAGTAGCAACGGTGATGTATTTTGTGATGTGCTGTCTTATGAAAAAGTTGCAGTAAGGTTAGCCTGATGTGGCATGACTGTTTGCCAAAGAATATTAAAGCAGATGTGTGCATTTTAAAATGTATAATCGCTAAAAATTACTATTTCCTTTATATATATTTAAATTATTGTTTTACATTTAAAGCTTTTTAAAGAAACACAATATATTTGTAACTGTCTGCATTGATACAGATGGATGATGTTATTTTTCCAAAATATTCTATAGAATTATGAATTATTTGATACATGAATTAAATATGAAATTTATTTGATATGTGAACTGTAGCTGCATGACCTGTAAATAAAAAAAGTTTGTTCTGAACTGAATTATTGATTCAACATAGTAATGTTCTATTTTAGAGAGAGGTTAAAAAGCATAATAAGGCTTAATTCCGTATATAGTTTATAACAAGATGTGTTTACCTTTATTCTGAAGTAAACAGTGTATATTCAATTTTTTCATAAGTAGATCTATTTGTATATTTTTAAATGCATATGAATCTCTTCATGCTCATTTTTTGTTTATAAAGGTCAATCAGGTTTTGGTTAAATAATCATATAACTACTCTGGATATTTTAATTCTCCTTAAACTTTGTATTTTGTTCAAAGAGAAAAAGCCCTTAGGTGAAAAAGAGGCAATACTTTGGGAGAGAGGAGGGGGAACAATAATACCTGTACAATTTTTTAAAATGTTTTATCGCTATTAAAAAAAAAATCAGGAATTAAAATACAGATGAGGAATGTTAAACGTGATTTGGTAGAACAAAGGTTTGAGTGCTTGGATTTAGTCTTCTGAGTTCACACTGCAATCATTTAAATTACTAACAGTTTTGCTTAGACTCCTTAAACAAGCTTGGCTTACAGTCTAACTCTACAGTTAATATTATTGATGGTGGTCTTCAATAAGCACTTCTTAAGATTAAGGAAATTACTTCAATTTTATATTTGCTTAGGTTTTTAAAACTTATGGTTGTCTGTAATAATGGGTTGGAAATGAATATACAAACTAGATGTGGACTAAGTTCTATGCAACAGAACTGTCTCTCTTTAGAAGATTGAATTTTTCTTTTAAATTCCCTTAAGATGTTTGTAGCTTTTTAAAACATAAGCATGACAGGAACTAAATGTATTTTAAGCATTGGGTAGTTAATATTTATAACTGTGTAATCCCAATTTTTACCTGAAACGCTAGGCTTGCCGCATACCGAACAAGCATCTGTTTTCACTGCGAGGTGGAGATGCAGGCTGTTTCTGTATTCGTTTCTCTCATGATGGGAAAACACTGGCAGCAGCATGTGCAGGAAGGAATGGCTATCCCATTGTTTGTAAGTTTAAAATATGTTTCAGTTGTTTACTTTTTCTTATAACTCGTAGTTTGAAATTAAAGGGTAAAAGGTGTGGATTTTTTAGAGGTTTTCTTTTATAATTGTGTTTTTCAAATTGTTCTGTGCATTAAAGGCACTGGGGAAAATGTTCTTTCTGAGTTAATAGGGTTGGAGCTGGCTTTTCATACATGGCAATGTATATACAGTTTAACAGTATGAAATACACTATTTCTGTGCAGAGTTCTAATGGAAAAAACTAAATCAGTTTGCATAGGAACATATCTTCTGATAATAAACTTTTAAGTGAAATAACTTTTCCAGCCCCACCCCACACACTTTTTATGTAAGTTTTTTCCTAACCTGTCATGAAAGTTAGGTACCCAGAACACCATCATCTCCAGAGAGACTACTGGAGGCTGCTGTCTTCCATGGTTCAGTTCACTTCGAACTACAGATATTCATTATTTTTCAAATTTGGGACTGCTTTTTCCCCATAGCCTCAACTGCATAGTTCTTAAACCCTGCATAAGAACGTTGAGATTTAGAGAGAACAGTATTTTACGTGTACACAAGGTAAATGTTTTAATGCAAGGAACAGTAAGCCTAGATTCCTTTATTACACAGCCCCAGAAAATTATCTCAGTGTTAATATATTTCAAAGATTGGTCAAGTAGCTGCCAAAATTTAAAAAAAAGAAAAAAATTATAATCCTAATCTCTTTCTAATAATTTAAAGCAAGTAGACTGTTTCGTATGGGTTAAGACATTCGTGACATCCATGAACCACTAGATGGAAGTATATGCTTGTGGTCCATGCATATCTAGCAACTATTTGATCTTGTTCTCTGAAAATGAGAAGGTAAAGAAAATTATTTATGCTAGCAGAAACTCAGCCAAAGATTAGACTAAATTTTGCACTAGTAATTTCATATAATTGATTGTAAATACTTACAAAGTTTTTACTTTTCTATTTAAACTTCCCTAGTGTACGAAATTCCTTCTGGACAGTTCCTGAGAGAATTTTATGGTCATCTTAACATAGTGTATGATCTTTGTTGGTCAAAAGACAATCAGTACCTTCTTACAGCATCCTCTGATGGCACTGTCAGGTCAGTATGATGAAGATATTCTGGGAGATAGCACCAGAAACAGAAAAGAAAGTGGTCCAGTTTCATGTCTTGTTACAAACTGTGCTATAATGTTTTAATTAAGATTTGATTACACTGTGATATTCTATAGCAGTGTAAAAATTGTGATGGAGTTAATCACTTATGCTGTATTTACTATATTGTTTTCTAATGTATATGTATTTGAAACCAAAGCTTTTCTAAAAACCATAGTATCTAAATCTACAGTGCAGCAAAAAACCAAAAGGCTTTATATTTCAGGAAGTCACTGAGACAGAATATTCTGTCCTTGGAGAAATTGCTGTATTTTGAATGCTGTATTAAGTTTGCAAATTTGAACATGAGGTAGGAAACAGAAAGTTTAAGACTCGAGTTATGTCTATAAATTGGCCACACTGCACATACATATGTTTGGGGTTTTTTTTAGTTTTTGGACAGTTAGTTAAGTAATTCAACTTAAATTGCTCTAAATGAAATTTGACAGTATTATTTCTGAGACAGAATGTGTACACATTTTCATCTATAATTAAAAAATGTACTTCAGTGCAGTGTTAAAGTTGAAATACTGATCTGTTCAAGGTTTAAAAGCAAAACCATAAAAACTGTAGAAATACATGAAAATATCGCTGTGATACAATTCTATTACGAGCAACTTCATAGGTTTTCATAGGGTGCTTTTTCATTTTTTTAGCTCTTCAGATCCCTATCTGTTGTTTCTGTTATGCAACTCAGTAATGCTACAGGCAGTTGCATAATTGAAATGCCAGAAGAATTGTTAAATGATATATTGTATGTGTGGAACTGAGTTGGTTTATTTTTTTTGCTGCTTGTATGTAGGCATAAAAAAAGAGTGTTTTAGGAATTTAGCCCATGTTCTTATTTAATCTGTTTCGAAATAAAAAATTTTTACATTGAAGTAAATATAAATTTCAGTCATTTATATTACCTATAAGAAGGCCCAGCTGTTCCTCAGTTCTTGAATTTGTGGCAGCAAGTTGAAACTGTAGTGGTTTGCCTCCTTTTCTGTGTAGCACGCATAGTCACTACATGAGTTACTAGTTCCTGTGTTTATTGTCCATTGCCTTAAGCACCTTACAAAGTCTGAGTGTAGGCAGGGAGTTTCTTCTTTTTCCCTTTTGCACTGGGAACACTTTGCCATTGAAATATGGTAGAATTGAAGGATAAGGACCAAAAGGTACCCCATTGCTTTAAAGTTATTACCCGTTTGTTACTTGGATCATCACTCAGACTGAGTTCTAAGGCAACTTCAAGGGAAATTTGGGAACTTATGTGAATTCTTCCTGATGTAGTGTTTCATGTTAACCTTGAGCCTTCCCAAGCTTTAATATTATTAACTTGGAGCAATAAATTAACTTCTATGTTGTTAGAGCAAAACCATTCTAAAATGTAGGTAGACTACTTGTGACCTTTGCACATTAAGTTGCAAGTTAATTGCTATACTCTAAGGGATTGCAGTTTTGTAATGAACTTGCCTCGGAGTTAGCTTAGAATTCTTCAGTAGCCACCAGAAGTAGTCACCCCAACTGGAAGGGTGGCACTCAAACAATTAAATTCCATATAGTAACTGAGCACTGTCTGAAATGTGCTGCCCACTTGTATTTCATGATCCAGGTACCATTCCATTCTTTATGGATTCAACTTTGGGCAAGGCTCAATAATAAAATGCTTAGCATCAAACAGAAAATACTTCCTAAGAAAAATCTGATCTTACAGCTGTGAGTGGTAAAGGACAGGAAATAGATGAATAGTAAGAACTGAATTTATGTGAAAAAAACACCCTTGAGATCACAATCACTGTGTTGGAAGGTAATTGCTCTTTTAAAACTTTCTGGGGTTTTATTTATATTTACTAGTCCTAGATGTTCCTTTGTGGGTTTTCCGTTCTACCTTCTTTTTTTTCTCTCTTCTTTTTCTAAATGACTGATATCCCAGAAGGTCTTAATAATTTGTTTATAACTCCTGAAAGAAAAGAAACCGATCCACTCCATTAAATTCTTTATATATATTTTAAAATGTGCAAGATATCCATGAGTAGATAGTTATGAATTCATTTTGAAGACAGAGTACTATGTAAAGTAGCATATATATCTTAATACCTGTTAGAAAGTACCATATTAAAGGATTAAATATAGATGGAACAAATCAGTGGGATAAACAGGGGGCAGGCATTTGCCTCTAGAACCACCAGCACAAACTATGACATCAGTTAACCTGCGTATGTGATTGCTTTTATACAGTAGGTATCCTAACCTCCTTTCATTTTAGAATGTGGAAGATAGAAACGCAGGCGGCATCTGCAGTGAGAGTTTTCCCTCATCCTTCATTTGTTTACACTGCAAAGTACCACCCAATTGCTGACTCGTTGGTTGTGACAGGATGTTACGACTCAGTGATTAGAATCTGGAATGCAAATGTGAAAGAAATTCATGGGCAACTGCTACAGGAGCTTGATGGTCACAAAAGTTTCATCAACACACTTTGTTTTGATTCAGAAGGTATGTACTTGGTATTACTTTTTTCAAATAGTCTTCAGTTGAAGATCAACTTGAGTGTTACTAGTTTGCTTTATTTCATAGAGGCAATGTGAAATGCTATAATAGAATGGAATAGTTTTAGCTGTGTTTGCAATTAATATGTTAGTATGGATGAACACAATGAGACACGTGGTCCCTGATATAATTTGATAGTAATCAGAAAAGGTAAGCGTAGAAGTGACAGGCAAACAAATGTGTAATGAACAGGCAATGATTACTGGGCAAATTTTAGTCATAGTTTAGTTTTAATTGTCCCTATAACTAGCTATTATTAGTTAGCTAATACTTTGTACATACCGCAACAAAAATTAGTGGAACATAAAGCACAGATGCGACTGTCCTGAGGAGACAAATGCATTGAGATGCAGGTGCAAAGACTAGCAGTGGAAAAAAGGCAGGTTTGGCTAGAATTCTTCTAGGTGGAAGAATTTAAAAGCAGAATCAGGAAATCTGAAACCAACTTCTAGAGAACTCTTAGAACAAGAGATGGCATGATCAGAACAGTAGCAAAGACAGCTCCACCATATTGTCATTCAGGGTTATCAACTCGATACAAAGATTTTTAAAAATGAGGTAGCAGTATTTAGATTGTGAGAATCATAATGTTAGACTGAAGAAGTGGGAAGGTGATGAACTTCTCAACATTGACAGAGAATGTGAAAACCTGAGAGTTAAGGACAGAGATTTGACCATTGTGAATAATGTTAAATGATAGATTAACGGCTGAATGTGAGTGAGAGAGATGTACTGATGTATGCTAGTGGAGGGTGGGAAGAGTTGAAGATGGGTGAATGAATAAGATACTTGGAAGCGTTTGACTTTTTCTGGTATTTGTGACATCATTAGTAGTCAGGTTGTTCGTTTTTGGAAGTATTCACTGGAATAGGTTCTGTGAAAAGGAAAAAATTGCATTTTTATAAATTTGTGTTTAATAATTTTGTAAAATTGTACTTAATTTATGAAAAACTGGTGGAAAACAGTATTTGTTCCTGTTCAAGATGCTCTTGGTGAATGTATAGGTAAGTATTAGGCTATCATGCAAAGCTCATTGAGCTACAAATTCTCATTTTTGGCTGGTTCTAGAATATGAGTAAAAATGAATAACTTAAAAGAATATTCAGCACCCCGGTATCTAACTTATGTCCTGAATCCAAATTTATAGTATCAACTTACGTCATGCGGTATAAGCAAAATGTATTTGCAGTGAGTATATCATAGCAAAAGAGAGGAAAGAACTAGTGTTCGCCTATTCACAAAAATAATAGAAAAAAATTGTTTCTTGTTCATACATCCTTTTCTGTATTAGTTCTTTTGTGTGGTGGTATTCTACTTATAAGACATTATTTCACAGGGCTCCACATGTTCTCAGGAGATAGTTCAGGACTGATAATAGTTTGGGATACATCTGTCAAAGGAAGTTCCCACCACCTGTTTAAACACTGGAGGATTAATAAGGTATGCAGGTTTCTTAAACTAGCATTGTAATTTTTGTGTACTATTCCAGATCTAGTCATTTGATGTGAATTCAAATTTTTTTAATGCATTAACTTTGTTAACTGAAAAGGTATATTTTCTTTAAATAGCGGTACAAAAGTGCTGATAGAACATGCTGTGATTCACTGACTTAAAATTTTTGAGTTGTTTTTCAACTTTTTATATATAAAACATGAAAATGCTTGAGGTTTAATAGCACTGTATTAACATGTAAGTGCTAATGCATTAGGTTTGTTCTCTAGAGACAACAATAAAATAGACCACAGGCTTTACAAATCGCCTTTGTTCATACCTTAGAGGCCTAATGTTCAGTCAGCATTTCTGTCATCAGCTGTGTTTCAGAAGTTCAATGTCATAGCAGAATCTGCCTTGTGGTTGTGAAAAGTTGATTACCAAGGATGTAATGCCTTAATATAGGAACAAACTTTTTCTTTAACCAAATAGAATAAAATGGACCAAAAAAGAGTAATGCAAGAGAAAAGTGAATAATGATGTGTAAAAATGTGAGTTTTAAAACACAAACTTGTATTTTTTACATTATTTTCCTTCTTTCTGTAGGAAATAAAAGAAAATGATATTAAAGGAACACCAATAAATCATTTGGAGGTGCATCCAAATGGAAGACGTTTATTAATCCATGCCAGAGACAGTACCCTGAGAATCATGGATCTCAGAATGTAAGTAGATTTTTGGTGACAAATGCATATTTCCTTTTTTGCTTTAAAATTTACTTGGGGAAATAAAGTACCATAAAATTATTAAATGTATAGTTGTGGAGAAAAAAGATGACCTAATAATCAAGGATAGCAATATTAGGGTTAGGAAATCGTTTCAAACCACTGCTGTATTCCAGACCTTTTGTGTGATATTGGGTAAGTCTTTTACAATAGAATATCCAAGAAATTACTAGACTACTTGGGAGCTTAAGGAGGCATGAAGGAGAAGGGACTGGTCTCCTAAAAATTCAATTCACTTTTAAAAATGCAGTCTGGGCATGAAAATAACTGTAAAATTATAACATTTATTTGTGCATTAGTTTCTCATTGTTAAGACTGTGGGAAGAGTATTTTGATGATGGAATGAAGATTGTCATTATAAATACTGAAAAATGCAGTGAGGTACATATTGTGGTATATTAAGCAGGTATATTTATTTTTTTAACTTAGTTTCTGATGATTTTCTCATATTTAGTAGTTATGAACATGATTTCTTAACAATAAAGTACAATAAAAACCAAGGAGATAACAGAATCCCCCGAGTTGTTGAGATTGGAGACTGTCCAGTTCAACCCCAATAATCAAAGCATGAGAGCATGTAACTCAGAGCTTTGTCCAGTTGGGTTCTGAATGTCTTGAAGGATGGAGAGTTTACATTTGTGTGCAACATGATCTAGTGTTCATTCACCCTCAAAATAAAAAGATTTTTTTTTTCTTCATTTTAAATAAAATTTCCCATATTTCAATTTGTGTCCATTTTCTCTAGTCCTTTCATTGGGTGAAATTGAGAAGAGTTGTATCAGTTAATAAGATGCACCTGAACGTTCTCTTCTGGAAAGTCACCTTAAAAATATAAAGACACTTTCTAAATTATTTGTCCTTAATTTCATGAGTTCCCTTCCTCCCTTTGTCACGCAGAAAATCAAAGGTCCCTTGTGTTCTGCATGAGAATACCTGGGGATGTTATATTTACACTCCCATAGTGTGAGAAACTACATTCTTATAGAACATGCTTTTGTACATATATAAACTCTCTCAGGAAATCTCACTTAAATAATATACTGGCTTGGATGCTTGAACTTGCTGAAGATTTTCCAGTCTTACATTGCACTCTTCATCTTTTACCATAAATGATAACTTCTAATGACCATGCTAGAAGGCTAAACTATCCACTCATTCAAAGCATAAAATCAGTGGTTTAACAGAGGGAACCTGTAGTTTTTAAAGCAGATAGTATTCTATGACTACTATTCCTAGAAAGAGCAGAATTTTAGTTTGAGAGAGATAAATGAACATGCATATTAATCTCTAAGAAAGGGTTAATATGGTGTGCAATTTCTCAATTATTTTAAGCCAGTTTATCCATAGGACATGTCATCTCCTTCTGTCTCCTACACCTTTGGCCATGTATTCCTAGTATTTTCTTTTATCAGCTCTAGAGATCTTTTGATGCAGGGTTAAGTCAGATTAGTGAACTGATCCGACTAAAAATCAGCCTACAAATACAAATGATTAATTTTCATTTTTATCAACTATCTGATCTAACTCATCTGATAGCTGCCCAAACACTAGAGAAGAAATGCAGGAGAGCCTGGGAAAATAAGGGTGGAGAGGACAGCAGCAGGACTGCTGCTTTGACTGCAGCCCACAGTTACATTGGCTTAAGTCTATCAATAAACCACAGGGTCAGATACCCAGCAGTGATAATTTTACACGTCAGCTTTAACTGTTCATTCCCTGCATGAGAAAAGAGGGGGTGGAGGTCACAGATCAACACAATTCACTTTGATTGACAGCTAGTTGTTCTTAACTTTACTCTTTCAACTTGCTTTTTTGATCTTTTTGGATAATGCTGTTGTCCTGTCACTCAGGTATGTGATCAGGGATTTGGTTTTGGTTCAGACATCTCCTTAGGGTTTCATATGTACGTTAGTTTTACATCTTGCAGAGCTCTTCTGCTTGATATCTCAGAGATACTATCTTTCTTATTCACACAGCTAAAACTCTTATTTGGGCTAATATGGTTTTTGCACTGGGATCATTAAAGCATCCTTTTCTCTTGCTTGCCAAATACAATTAATTGTATGTAGGGTATATTTATTCAGAATATTGTTTAAAATAGTTTTTCTGTCACATTAACTGCACTGCATTTCTCCCAGCATATCTCTGTTGTTTTTGCAGTAACACATTTTAAAATTTACTGTCTTCTGTCTTTGAGGGCTGTCATGGCCTACTGACATTCTTTTAGCCTGAAGTTGGATTGTCTGTTCTGAAAGTATCTGCTACATTTGCATATTATTCTTTATCTTTAGCTTAGCTACAAAGAAATACATAGGTGCCACAAATTATAGAGAAAAGATTCACAGCACCATAACACCATGTGGTACGTTCCTGTTTTCTGGAAGTGAAGATGGAAAGGCTTATGTTTGGAATCCAGAAACAGGTAACTAATTATTTTATGGTCTTAAATTGGGTTGTCAAGGCTGAGGGGGAAAGGGATTGTAAGCTTTATTGAAGCACTTTTGATATGGAATAATACTTCAGTAGGATATTCTTAAATCCTGAAGCCTTAGCTCCACCTTTTAAGTAGATATTATTATCTCTAAGATTTAATTCTCTGGAGGTAATTAATAGGCAGAGGTAGCATTTGTAATATCCAGGAGGAATAGAGCACCTGAAGCTCAGCTTTCTGTGTACTGTGATTCTTTCCATGTGTAGGGTCTTAAATATTTTAAGTCAAATCAGTCTTTCTGTTGTGTTTCTTGGATTTGGGTATTTTTTGAGAACAAGTTTGTCTGTTTCACAAGGGTGGTCAGAAACTCTGAATATTTTTGACCTTTGGAATTATAAGGTTACTTCATGTATTATTCCCCAAACCAAGTAGTTTCAAAATAGCTACCAAAATCTTACTGGAAAAATGTTAAGCAAATGTAAGATATAGAGTTTGTCATCTTCATTGTACGGTGAGGTAAAAGGGACAGAAATAACAGTACAACTAGCAGAATACACTTTCTGGTTTTGATGTCGTACTCTGTCTCCAATGATGATTACATAATTTTTAAAAAAGAAAAAGTAAATATTTTAAAACTGGCAGCTAACAATCTTGTTTTAAATTTCTTTCCACATTTCCAACTATATTGCATCTATGCCACTACATAATTTGTCTGAAAACTATTAAAAAAAAAAAAAAAAAAAAAAAGTAAAAAGAGGGAGGAACTTTGTTATTAATATGTTTACACACTATACTTACATTCATAATGCTGTCAGCTGAAGAGATAATTTTATTTATTTTTTAAATAATTTTGTGCTCAACTTTTACTCATATAGTCAGTATGATATAATTGAAATTTACAACTAAGATAACTATCTCTGGCAAAATGCAAGCACAAACAAATACTGTGGAACGCCACCTTTCCAGAACTTGCTTATCAGAACAAGAGAACAAAGCCAACCTGATGCATTCTCTGGGGTTTCCTGCAGCTGTTGCAACAGTATTAACTTTTCTAACTTACTGAATAAATTAAAAGCATGCAATATTTTTTCTCTTATGCCAAATACTACTTTTCAGTAAGGAAATTGGCTGAAGAACATTTATTTACAGTGACTGTCACTGCATTATAGTAATACAAGCTTTAACCAACTGTGCTTTTGCTGTGTCAAATATGTTTCTGTGGTATTAATAAATATATTTCACTTCTCTAGGAGACCAGGTGGCCATATATTCTGAACTCTCCTACACATCTCCACTTCGTGATGTTGCCTTTCATCCACATGAACACATGGTGTCATTTTGTGCCTTTGGTCAAAACCAGCCAATACTTGTATACATTTATGATTATAAAGGTACAGTACAAATTTTCTTGATACACACTTTAAATATTTTATTTTAGAGGTGATTTTCTAGTATTTGTACTTATTTTGAAGGGAAAAGAAAACAGTCATTTGATCATAATACATATCTTTATCCTGGGAGATATCAAAACTGAAAAGGACATGACCCTGAGCAATCTGCTCTAGGTGACCCTACTTTGAGCAGGGGTTTTGGCCTAGCTAGTCACCAGAGGTCTCCAGTAACCTCAAGTTTATAAATGTGTTATTGTGTGTCATCATATGTGATCTTTACAGCACTTTATCATATATGGGCAGTGTCATACAAGTATTTAAAAGCCCCTTTTCAATATCAAGGTAGATTATGGAGCCAGAAAATACCGTCATTCTGAAAATTCATGAATAGCTTAATAGAAATCTCAGTATTTTGTGCTGGCTATATTACAAAATAATGTTGAGGAGCTGAATAGAAATAACGAGAAAGTATAGATTGTTTTAATAAACAGGTGTTATGTCTGTGGTGTGATTATGTGAGAGATATTTATTCCCCATGTTCTATTAAAGAGAAGATAGTGATAAATGCTAACTGAATTTTTGATATACAAAATAAAATTTAGACTTTCCTTTGCAGGCTTTTCTGATAGTTGAGGGTTTTTGTGGTTAGCTTTAGCAGTTTCATTGTTTCAATTAAGGATACAGTTGCAGATGTCATGTTGCATCTAGATAGTAGATGATACAAACTATGCAATAAATTTTGCATATCTGTAACAGATTTTTGTTTGAATTATATTTTCAATGAACATTGATTTATAAAACTAATCCTGTCTTTATACACTTGCTTTTTAAATAACATGTAGCAATGAGATTACTCATATCAAATCTTACAATTTAGGTTATTTGTCTGTTGAACTGGTTGACTTTTACAGGAAAATAAAGTGCAATGACTTTACAATCAATAGTCAGCGTTAAACTTTAACCCAGTAAGGTATCTGCATTATAGAGAGTAATGGAAAATATTTTGGGTGAAGGTTTCTTTAAAATTTTTAGACTGTTCAGCAGACAGTCTTTAAAAAGCTAATAGGTTAGTTTTTTATATATGTGTGTGTGTGTGTGTATATTTAGAGATCATGCAGATATCACACTGGTAGTTATTTGTATCATCTGACTGCATAACTAAGTCACTGGTGACAGTAAGATTTTGCATAGGTTGTGGTCTTTTCTACATTATCTGTTACTAACTTTTTGTTCCTTTTTTAGTTAAAAGCAGACACATTTTGCTTTCAGAAGATGGTCTTACTGCCTTAGTGTTGAAAGAGTTAATCATATAGTAATACTAATTTTAGTCACTGACACAGTTTTTAAGACTCCAGCAGTATGTGTTTTACATACACCAACAGTTCTATGAATATCCTGGACAAAACTTTCATGAAGAATTATTTAAACTTTGTGGCTTGAGACGGTAATACAAAAAATGTCAATTGATTTGTTTAAATGACAATGAGAGCAACTTTCATCAAAACTATCCTATTCTAGAGTAGGCTACTTCCTAAGAATGCCTCCTGTGCCTGTATATATGTTTAGAAATTCGTGGAATTTCACTCAAGTATAATCTCACTTGAACTGGGCTGGAAAAAATGTGGTAAGTACCTAGTAAAATAACTGACTTGAACTCAGTGCAAGCTCTATAGCTTTCTTGGCCTTGAAAAATTCCCAGGTTTTTTCTTGCCCCTTAATATTTCTCAATGAAGAACACCATTGTTTATAAGCAATACAAAAATACCAGTTCTGTGTGAGAGGTTACCGAACACTGATAACCGAAGAGAGACATTGATTAGGAAGAGTTAGGGAGAATGGGGTAGCATGGGAAAAATTGCTTGTCGTTTTCAGGTTTTGCCTGTAGCACTATTGGTGCAGATTCTGATGGCATTTGACTGAAGACGTGGCTGGCAAAATCACAATGATCATTCGATTTTTTTATTATTTTTTTTTCCATGGCAATGTAAGGCTTCACCTGACACATTAATATTGGTTATTTCTACAGTTGCACAACAGGAAGCTGAACTCGTAAGAGATCTCACTTCATCACTTACCACAGCTGCACCAAGAGGGCCACAGTTCTTCAGCAGTTTTTCTGAAATTCCTGTACAAAGAAATTCAGTGATGTCTCCAGCAGATCAGTTTGCCAGTGTTGCAAAAACATCAATGAGAATGCAGAAGGTCAAACAAAAACTTGATTCTGTTACAGTAAGTAAAATTTAATTAACTTCCAGAAGTGTATATAGTCTTCTCAGCCAAAGTTCATAATCTGGGACTAGTAGGTGTAACAAAACACATATGTGTAGTCTGAGATCTGTTCTTCAGAAATGAATATACTGTTATGAATGTACCATGCTGGACAGGTACAGTCCCCGAGGGGATTTTGGCTGGTGGAGGACCTACACTAAAGCAGTTTAAAGGAGCAAGGAAAGGCAAAAAGAGCAAGCCACTAAGCAATAACCCCACTCTCCCGCACCACCCATCGCTCTACCAAAGACACTGAGTGTAACATAATGGCAAAAGCAGGGAGATGGGGACTAGAAAGGAGGAGAGAGAAGTGTCTGAAGTGGAGGCTGACAAAGAGGGAGGAAAAGTGATTTCTTTGTGTGTGTGTGTTTGACTGTCTTGTTTCTCGATACCCGCATCAGTAATTAAAGCTTTTGTATTGGCCATAGAAGTGAAATTCCCTGACTTGAGACAATTTTGCATGTGACAAGAATGCAGAATATTCCTGAACAGTGCTGTGCAATTATAATTACTGTTCACAGTGAGATGAACTGTATTTGGGTTTGCACTTAGTATTTTTCATTTTTAAGTCCTCTTGAGTGCATGTAGTTCTGGGTTTTTTTAATGCAGTTTTAGGCATTGTCTGCATTAAGTAGTGAAGCACAAAAGAAGCAGATGAGTAGATGAAAGCAGTTGTGGCAGAGGATGCTGTAGCTACTCTCATCTGGTGGGCGCAGTATTCCCTGCCTGCATTATCAGAGATTCTGGACAGCCCCAGAGTATAATAGATCAACACTAAAACTTGAAATTTCTACTAATTTGTAATTAAGAATTAAACTTTTGGATGTATATGGATTTAAATGTGTGTAACTCCCTTTTTCATGTGAATAATGATGCATGTATGTAAGTGCAGGCTTTGCTGAGATGCTTGCTGGAATGTGTACTCACATAAATGCTTTGCAAAACTGTTTGTCAAAGTAGGCCTCATAAATGCTGTGTATGTGAGAATGTGCAAATACATATGGTTAGACAAGTGAAAATGGAGAAGGGAGATTTTATTGAGCTGTGTGTAGGGTGGCAGGCTGCCCCGTGATAGGGTTGGAATATGAAAATCCAAGTGAGAACACAGGTGTTACCTTGTACGTATTCACCTGACAGGAAAAATAAAAGGAAACTGTAAACTGTAAACTTTGTACTGGTCTTTGGGTCATGTTTGCATGCCAGTGCTTTGTCACAGGTACATGGGGATTACCATGTTGGGACAAACATGTTGGCAGCACACCTTGTAGACAGTAAACCTGGCCTGAGGTCGTGCCTGGGGTATGTTTTATGAGGCAAAGATGCTGGAACCACTGAACAGCAGATCTGCCAAAACAGGGGTCTCTGAGTTTGATGTGTGTGAAATTAACAGCAGTAGCTAATGGATAGAAAATTAAATTCTAATTGCAAAGTTTGGAGGTCTGTGACTTAGATATACTATTTGAAAATGTAATGTGAATATATTAAAAATTGTTTTAGGCTAGATAGAAATAGAGAACATTCTGAGCCTACATGAGCTTGGGTTTTTTGTGCTGTGACAAGTGCCTCCTTTCCGGGTTCCTTTAAAGCCAATGTTTTTTTTTCTTTTTTTTTGTTTTTCTTCTTTGCTACCTAAACAGGAACCTTAATGAATGAGAGAGGAGGTTTCCCCTCTCCCTCTCCCTCTCCCTCTCCCACATTAGCATTCTTGTTAGCCCAGAAAATGTGTAATTAGAACCAAGATTTGAATACTGGGCTAAAGCTGTAGTAATTCACAAAAGCTAGAACATTTTGTTAGAAAAAGTAAATGTGAATTTCTATATGAAACCAGAATTCAGAATTGGCTTCTTTACCACATAGAGAAATTACTGTACAGTGAATTTTTGCAGCAATTATTATCTATCTCTGATGCTAATGTATGTTTCTATTCACAGAAGTTTTTGATAGGAAAACACAACCCATCTCTAGTCAATGAAATAACATAATGCTTTTCCTTCAGTGTTACTGTTTATGTGTTTAAAATCTGACTTCCATCTAGCAGTCGAATTACCTATTTATAACTTTGCATAACAAGGGGGTGTTGTATGTTATGTAGATATGAGGAGAAGGGCTTCCTTTAGAGATAGAATATCCTAGCTCTGAAATTGTGATTTTTAGATGTCAAAATTTCCATGTTATAATTTGAAGAAGAAAAAAATCTCTGTAGTGCTTAAGGACAGCATCTATATATACTCTGTAGTACTAGTACTAGAATCACTTATATGTTGGCTGCCTTGTCTCTTATTATGTGAATACTTCTGAATTAATTAAACGTGTGTTTGGCTATTCCAGTCTTTAGTTCACAATGTATTTCTGAAAAATGTTATTAAAAGGTTATCAGAGTGGTTACCAATGTTTTGATACTCAGAGGGTTTAAAGTGCAATAAGTGCAATTAAAGTGCAACAAGTAACATGTAAAAGTATTCTTTCCTGTATACAGAAATGCTTAAAACCTTTTGAATATTTTTTTTATCATTTGAGTGTATTTATTACAATGCCAGAGTTCATTAAAGGAGTAGGTACTGTGAGAGATTCCAGAAGCCTGTATCTCAGATTGCATCTAATATACTAAACTTTCATCATTAAGCTGTATGACTATAAAGTATGGTCGTACATTATACTTTGGTATAGTATTCATCATATAGTATACTGTGTGGTCCTTTCAGATAGTCTCCTTTTAGGATTTAGTTGAAATGCAATATATATCTTGTGTGAAAACAACAGAATTTAAAGCCACTTCTTTTCAGAAAAAAACATGCAACCTTTTTAGTGAACACATAAACATGATACTGATACTGTCTAAACCATCAAATGGAAGAAGCTGTAAACTTGTACTTTGTCTGCAATGAGAACCTAGAGGTAGAGATGGATGCTGAAGTGGTGTCTATTTTTTATGCTACCATTGTCAGTCCTGTAAGAATCTGTCCTCTGGGTCATCTTGGGTTTTGTAGATTGTGAAATACCATGCTTATCTTCTGAGTTTTAGTGCAGATTGGGAAGAGTTCTGTAGTAACTTAACTACAACTTCTACCTGAATATGAAAACCGGAGGGTTGTAACACATTACATACTGAGTGCTTTTAAAATATTGCCAATTCAGTGAATATTTTTGGTGAAGTACAAGATGATGCTGCAATGTCTTTGCAGGCTGAAATAGCTTTTTCACTTAATAATGCTTGCAATACAAAATTTTTATCTACAAACTGTCAGAGGAGGTACTGATATTCTGTATTCTTATCTGTCATATGTATAAGAAATTTGCAGTGTTTTTAAAACCTGTTTTTCACTGAGTTCATAGAATTGGCTTAAATTTCTGTTGTTTTTCCAAAAGAAAACTTGCAGATTAATAGGAAGACTTTTTTTTATACTATGCATACCACAGTTGAAAAATAAATAGGCAAGAAATCGGTTAATTTTATTTCTTATTAAAAACAAAACTGCAGCTAAATAATTTTTAGGAAACCATAAATAAGATCCATTCCAAACCGAATATGAGGAAGATGCATGTGTGCTTCTACTTAGGAAATCCAGGATAGGCCCATATATTCAACACACTAACTGGTTCTGGATACCCCTTCTGAAAAAGAATATAGTAAAATGAGAAGTTCAAACAAGAGTAACACAAATGCCAAGAGCTGTTGAAGAGCTTGCTTGTAATGAGATTAAATTGACTAGAGCTCCTCAGCTTTGCACATCATGCAAGTGGAGATGAGTGAGAGAAAAGTTGTGACAAATATATGAAAACATGAATGATACTGGAAAAAAAACTATTTCTCACAGCTGAAGTGGGGACATACACTAGAGTTACATACACAGAGTGCTGTGAAGGCCAGAAGTGTACATGGGTATTTCTTCCTGGTAGCTGATACAGGGCTGTGTTTTGGATTTAGTGTGAGAATAACATTGATAACACACTGATGTTTTAGTTGTGGCTAAGTGGTTCTTATCCTATGTTAAGGACTTTTCAGGTTCCCATGCTCTGCCAGCAAGGAGGTGCACAAGAAGCTGGGAAAAAGCCTGACCAGGAGAGCTGACCCAAACTAGCCAAAGGGATATTCCATACTCTAGGGTGTCATGATCAGTATATAAGCTGGGGGGAGCTGGTTGGGAGGAATGAATTACTGCTCAGGCATCAGTCAGCAGGTGGTGAGCAATTGCATTGGGCATCACTTGTCTTTTCTTGGGGTTTATTTCTCTCTTTTTTTTTTTATTCTGTTCCTTTTCATTACTATTACTATATTTTTATTATTATTTATTTTAGTTGTTAAACCATTCTTAACCTATGAGTTCTACTTTTTTTTTTTTTTTTCCAAATCACTTCCTCATCCCACTGGGAGGGGGGAGGAGTGACCGAGTGCCTACATGATGTTTAGGTGCTGGCTGGGGTTAAACCAGGACAGTGGGTTCACTGAGATTTTGGAAAAATTCGTAGAGATTCAGCAAAAACTATAGGCCCAATGAATCAGTATTACTGCCAGCTGATGTGCAAGTTCATAAACTGCTGAGTGATGGAAGTGGAAGGGCCCATAGGAGAAAAATCAATCTGAACTTATGTACCTTATTTGCTACAGTTTACTGTTGAAAAACATGAGGATGAATATTTAATACAGCGTAATTATTCTTATGCTATGGTGTATATAGACAATACATGTAAAAGTTATACAGACAAGGTTGTGGCATTATCATGTTATTTATGAGTTGTGTGATAATTCTCCATAAGAGTTACTAATATTCTTTTCATTGCACCAGATTAGTAAATAATTTTAAAAATAATCATATTTCAGTTGAATTTAGTATGACTATTAAGGTTACTTTTCTTCCAGTTTTGCTTTTATAGCAATTTCAAGTCAGATCCATGTGGCCCATAGGCTTGGGTTTCAGTTTATTTTCATGTTAGTGGAGAACATGATCCTGTAACATAGGCAG